TGGGAGGGGAAAGAGAACAAGAATAGTATTAATAAGATTATTCAGTTTTGGAGTGTCCAAAATCTACATAATTCTGCATAACATAAATCTTATTTTAAAAAACCTTTGTCAGGCCATTACCAACTTTGCTCATTCTTACTCTTAAAAGAAAATGGCCTTAAGCTCATGACCTAAAAAACACGTTATGTTGCATTTTTTCCTTCTATACACAATACACACAACTGCTAGCCCCTCTGTTTGGAATTGATATATTTTCAATATATAAAACTTTTCCTCAGGTGATGGAATAATCCTCAGGATTATTCCTTTTCCTTGGCCATGGCCCGCTTCCCCCAAGGTGCTTGCCCTGTGTAGAAGACATGAAGCTGCCAAAACTTTAATGGTTATTCCACTCTCTTCACCATTCTCCCTGGTTGTAGGATGGATTCTATGCAGGTGTCAGCTGCAAAAGGTCAGAAGGTCTACTGGTTAATCTATGGAGCAGATGCTCAGAGACTGTTGCGATCAGAGCCTGCAAATATACAGCCAGAGTCTACCAGTCACCGAAAACCATGCTTGGATACCTGCTTTCCGCAAGCCAACATGAAGATTTCACAGAACTGACCTCATCTGGACACTGTGGCTGTGTCCCCATGAGCAGAAACATGCACTTTGTGGCACTTCAGAGACTTTTGAAAGAACATATGTTACATGTGAAAAAGTTCACTGTGCTGCATATTTACAGCACAGCACAGAGCCAAAATCAGATACCAAGCAATCCTGCTATCTAAAAAAAAAAAAACGGTCCAAAAAAGCAGGACGGCGCATGTGGCAGCAGCATGCTGCCCGAGACCAAAGCCTGGCCAGCCAGAGCCATGCTCCAGCTGCCAGCCAGGCTCTGGATGCCTGGATCACAGCCACTGCAGCCTCAGGAGGTCCCCAAGAAAGGCTGCTGGGGCTAGCCCAGTACTGGCCCCAGCCTCCCCTACCCCACCTGGGGCAATTTGCCACGTGCCATAGCACATGTGCAGGAGCATTCTCCAGGAACAAGTAGCAGCAGCACAACTATGTGCTGCTGCTATTTGTCCCCAATAAATGCACATGTGCACTCATGGGGATGTGCACTGTAGGTTAGCAAAGGCACTGTCCCTCACCCCTAGGGGTCTCAAAGTGGATGGGAAGCACAGAAAAGGATAACTGGCATTTTATGCTCCCAAAACTATTCTGCAGGGTATGAGAGAGAAAGGAAGGAGTTCTCTATGTCCCACCATCTTAGTGTTGCTGCCATGAACTGCTGCCACCAAGACTTTCCCCTCTCAAAGGACATTAGGTCTTCTTACAAAGGTGTTGGAGTGAGTGTGGAGGCGTTTGCCACACCCAGTCCATGTTTCCTTTAAGCTGCATGAATGTAGACTGAGAGTTGCAATTTGCTGGTGCTGGGAGGGGTGCAAAGAACCTGGTGTAACTCTGGGTGGAGGAGGGAGCGCGTGGCAAGATTGGAGGCAGTCACAATTCTGGGGGGTGGCGGTCTGGGGTTGGGGGCGGTCAGAAGGCTAAATAGCTCAGTCAAGCCTGCAGGGGGGGGCATGGGGGGCTTGGGAGAGCACAGCCCTGGGGCTGAGGCAAGTGTCTGGGCTTGTCTACATTTAATCAGTTCCTGATTCCAAGTTAGTACACCTGCCATTTTTTGCCTGATTTAAACCCCCGGAATGCCTGAACAAATGGTTGTTTAGATGGGCCTAACCTATATGCAACTGTTATATGTGCTTTTGGTCATTCTCTGTGATCATTTTGTGTTAAATATGATTTTTCCTTTTCACTTGGAGACATGTTGATTTAAAAAAAACAGAGCTACTAACCATTCCATTCCTCTGCATGCATCACCTAACAACTCTGCAAACCACACCACGGTAGTTTTGACAGCTGCTGTGAAATATTACAATGCAACCTCTGAGGGCAAGGGCAAGCAGAGAAAGTAGCCTCATTTGGTGTCTGGCAGCCAGCCGGCATTACATATTAGAGGTTTTTCAGGTTAATTAGTAAAAAAAGATAAATCAGAACAATGATATACATTTGGATGGCAGGAAATTACGATTTAAAGTGTATTTTTCCTTAATTTTTGAACAAATGTTAAAAATGAAAACTAAGTTACCTCATTGGATACATCCACAACCAGGTTATCATCACTCTTGTCTGCATCGCTGTCCTAGAAAAAAGTAGTTCACTGGGATTAATTTATTTGAAAAACAGTGTGGGGGGGGGGTGGAGGGGAAGGAGGAGGTAGCCTAGGTGTCTGCTATATTCACACTTGAACTTAAAGCTTTTTTTTTTTTTTTTTTTTTT